GGGGGAACCATTCTTCAGTTAGTTGCCATCTGGCCATACAAAAGCTGGATAAGAGCAAACTCCCATCATGGCAATTTTCGAAAAACAATATACATGCCAAAGTTAAGGATGAAAATGGCTGTTCACTATAGTTGACTAGACCATGGAAACTTGCATGTAGTATCTTATCTCAATCCAGAAACAAACTCGTGGTACATCTGGCAGCCATCTTTTACTTTTTGTGGGTACCTAGTAGTTCCTAATAACACACATTCAAATTCTGGAGTAACAGTTCATAAAACATTGCACACTTATGTGTTCTACAGGACGGGCAGACTTAACCGCAAAATTAATCAATCATGGATTAAAATCTTTTTGTGCTACTGGGCTAAGTATTTACTTGATTTGGGGTGTCTACCCCCCCCCCAGGAAGTGCATACATTACACGAGTTTTAACAGCTGGATCCAAAAGTATGACCACCACTCAAATCAAAGATATTCCACTGTATAATTGACTGCAAGTGGTTTTAGGTGACACAACTCTCAAAGTGCAAACTTTCAATAAGGAAATCCAGCATTTCAAACTGTAATATCCTTTGTAAGTATTACAATTAATTTACAGCTTAAAAGTTAGGGTGTAAATAACTTTTCAGGTACTACAGAGGTCAAATTTCCTTTAACCCTTTGGTGATTATACCCATTAAAATAAAACAACACAATAACATACTTCTGAGGCAACAAAGCAGATGAATCAGATAACTCTAGGGAATTCAGTACATCAAGATGCCTTACCAGATAAAATACACGAAAACTATAACAACAAAAACACCTCTCTGCAGTAAAATGACAAATGTATGAACAGAAAATTACAAAACTGCTGCCTATCATTTCTCGGCAATTCAAATAGTTGCAAAGTAACTTGAAAATACGAGACCATAATTTATACTACAGAAATTATGAAGCAGTTTAAACATTCCAATTAGCACAGAGTGCGAAGTCATATCAGTCAACAATCACATCTTAATCTGTAGTTCATTCCAGAAAATTATACCTTCTTGTAATTGAAACCACTTCATGCTATCTGTTGACCATTCAAACACGTGATGGATCACTCTACACTTAAAAATTTATAGTTTTAAAATTCATTCAAAAGTCAGAGTTAGCTAATTAAAGGAATTAACACTATTTCAGAATCTACCTTAAAAAAAAAACTGTGTCCCAAAAACTGTCTTTAAATATATTAAGTCAAACTCTCGAGGGTGTCAATACTTTGGCCAGTGTGTCCAGTTCTCTGTGCTGTATATCTACAAAACTAACTTTACTGCCTTCCGCAATGCAAATTCGGTGCAACCACGCCCCCCCCCTAAAAAAATTGCTTGCTACAAGGCGTTTTGGCTAACATTCCCTAGTTGCCATAATCACTCATTTACCCAACCTCAATCAAATTTGCGAGTTTATGTCACTGATGCTGAAACCTTAATAATTATTATTATTATAATCATTAATTCCCAAAACCTGAGGTCTGAAAGTTTCACTGAAAAGCGTGGTATGAAGTACAGATGACACTAGTATCAAGAGATTAGAAATTTTAGAATCACCTTCATCTGAATGTTTAAATGTCCCTACATGCAAATCAAGACAGGACAACCATCCTTTCCTGTCCTGTGGTGTGGTAAAATGTGGAGACCACCGTAAAGTTACTAATCCCTGAAAACAAATTATTTGCACACAACTATTCTGGAGATCCACTCAGTTGAAATTTCATGCGCAGTAATCATCCCAACAAACTCCAGACCTCACCATACTATATACCAACCCACTCCATTCAACTGTCTGGTATACTAGTAACAAAAATACTGTTTTTCAAAATCCAATGAGACTTCAGACTATATGCTCATTTATGATGTGGACAAAACTTCTCACCGCCAATACCTGCTACCGATAATCAAAGTTCAAATTTACAAAACTCCACGCGTGCGCGCATATATACACACATCCATGGGAGACAAACCATGATCAATCACATATACTATTCCTTTGGTCATTCAAAATTTAATTTCAAAGCTGGAGTTTATATAAAGTGCTGCATGTCAGGCCAATTGTACCACGACCCTCATACTAACCTTCAACTTGAAATTTCAAAACGATGCTCCACAGTTGACATAAGTCGTCCCGACCAGGACGCATGCTCAACTCCGACGGAAAACAGAAAGAAACAAGAGTCAATTAATCTGAATACAAACCTCTGGCAGTAACTCAAATTTAAGTAACACATTTCAAAATAAAATTCAGTATAATCACCTAAAGCATTAATGAAAAAATTTAAGGATATGTAGGCTTCTGTTAATACTTACATTGAAGTGAAATAACTGCAACTCCTACGTGGTGAGAGATTTAATTGCAAATAAACTTACAGAATTTAACCCATACTACATAAGTACTGAACTTCCTACCTAATGTTAGCAAGCATCCCTTACTTTCAATGTGGCCAACACTCCTAGAATAATCAGTATACAATTCAAACAAAAGGCAAGCATATTCAGCAGTCATAACATAAAATTTTAGGAAAGGGAAAAATTCTTGTAGAATGCAGTTACTTTTGTTGAACATTTCAGCACATCCAGGATGGGTCTCTTCTACATGTCTAGTTACTGCTCTTTCATACATTACAATAAATAAGCACACGCTTAAAACTTAGAACAACTCAGGGAATTTCAGTAATGAAGACAAACTATTTCATTTGATACAAATATCATCTCTTTTGATGTGCAAGACCTAAGATACTGAGAACAGAAATGGACCTTAATCTATATAAATTTGAAATCTAACAAAGCACTGATGACCATTAGCAAAATCTTCTAAACCTGAAGTGGGCATATCTGTCCAGAAATAAAACACCAAAAAATACATCTCTACACAGCAAATCACCTTACATACATTAAAGTAACAGTACTTTTGTCCCACTACACCCATTTATATTATGCATATATTATATTTAATACTGATACACATCTGAATACAAGACTACTAAAATATTCTGTATAGTAAATATGTATTTGTTGGGGAATAGAAAATTGACACAATGTGATACTTAGTGAGAAACACAAATCAAATCTTCAAAGTCACTGATGTATGTTGCTTTTGAACACCTATATACCAAGAAGCAGGAGAAATTCAACATGCCATTTCTTTCACCATTGTTGAAACAATGCACGAATGAAATAAAGACACTAATTAAAAAAAACATGTGGATATATAACACGCAACCACCACATACAATAAACGCAGTTCAATTTACATTTTGGTTTGCGTGCAATATTACTTTAAATCCTATTATTTATGCTTTTACTTCATTTTAACACTGTTTATGTGCAATCTGTTAAAAAAACTTTAAACCACTGACAAGAATACAACACTTGTGTCTTCATGTGACTACTGGCTGTAAGGATGGCCTATATTGTGTCCCCATATGCCTGGGCAATGCTGAATGGGTCGGCTAAACTGCTTGCTAAATCCTGCCTTCGCCCTGTGTCTCATTTAGCCTGCCTCGTCTGCTTTGCATTGCCTTCCTCACTATGCCTGCCCTGTCAGATAGCCCTAAGGTACGGTAGTAGAACCTAAATAAAGTTCAGAAAATGTACAAAAACATGTTAGTTTACACCTCAGCATAACAGATCCAATAGCTAAACCTAGTCAGTTGCTCCTCTTAATATATATATATATACACACACTATCATAACCTAATCTTTCAACACAGCAAAATATAACAAATACACAATAATGGAATCTACTTCCCTTCATTCAGCTGCTACATCTAAATTTTTTCCAACCTGCCATCTTGGTCAGGGAGGAACATTAATTTATTTCATGAAACAAAATGAAATCAACATAACAAAAGTAAACTTACCACAGTGCCAAGCGGAGTTAAATGCTTTCTGCATGACTTAATAACGTCGTGCACCTCCACCATATCCACCAACACCACCTCCTGCGCTGTAGCCTCCACCACCACCACCTAAGAGAATCACAATGAATTTCCTTCATCCAAAATTATGCTGTGTAATGACAAGTCAAGCAGTACAAACATGGTTACCAAATTCTTGGGGGGGGGGTTGAGTTAAAAAAAAAAAACAAACAAACAAAACAAAACAAAACAAAAGTAAACCTGAGTATGGACTTGGCCGGCCTCCACCACTGCCTCCAAAATTCCCTCTAACAGGACCACCACCATAATTCTGCTGGTAGCCACCACCGAAGTTGTCGCTGCTCCAATTTCCGCCTCCACTGTTGTACTGGCCACCTCCCTGGCCCCATCCACCACCTGCACCACCCTGGTTTTCCCATGGATCACCACCTTCAAGCCAAAAAAATCGTTAAAATAGGCATGTAAAAAAAAAAAAGAACGCGCCTAATACAATCAAATTCTAAACACACCATGGATACACTAAGAGTGAGAAATGACCCACATCCGACACATATGGCATTACAATACTCACCTCCCCATCCACCACTGTTGTAGCCACCACCTGCATTCCATTCACCACCACCTCCACGTCCACCCCATGATCCACCGCCGCCACCCCCACGAGATCCTCCACGGCCACCACCACCTCCGCCGCCGCCACCACCACTTCGGCCACCAGGACCCTGGCCCGCCATTTCTGCCTTGCTTAAAGCCTTCTTAACATCAATATGCTTCCCTCTGATTTGATGAGTTCTTTGTACTGGGAAACAAAAACAGAATCACTAACATCCATTTTCATACTCTATTACATGAAATATTACATATATGTGGTGAACACTGAAGAGAAAATTCACACTTACAACATATTTTGTCCACTGGGTCATAGTCCTCAAACTCAACAAACCCAAACCCTCGCTTTTTGCCAGTCTCTTTATCCGTAACAATAGCACATGACACTATCGGTCCAAAATCTTTGAAATACTCTCGAAGGTCTTCTTCTTCCATATCCTCCTTCAAGCCACCAACGAAAAGCTTCTTTACGGTGGCTCCAGCCTCTGGACGTCCGATTTCCTGCAGATAAAGAATGCGCTGGACAATCAGATCACAAACGTTGCCTAGTGCAGCCTACAAACTGCCCAAGGCCTTACTCTTACCTGTCTAGGTACAGCTCGCTTAGGCTCCACAACCCTTCCATCCACCCTATGTGGACGAGCATTTTGTGCATCATCCACCATATGTGCTCGGGAGTATGTAATAAAACCAAAACCTCTTGACCTATATAAAGACAGAAAACAATAATAATAATAATGCTGGCACATTAACTACTTTTCTGGAGGTTGTAGCAGCAGAAGACAATATACCGTTTTGTTTTTGGATCCTTCATTACAACAACATCCACAATTTCTCCCCATTGTTCAAAATGTTTCTTCAAAGATTCATCTGTTGTTCTGTAATCAAGTCCTCCAATGAAAAGTTTCCGGATATGTTCAGGCTCCGTTTTTCCACCTTCCTGAAAAACGGAAAACATTATACTGCACATTTTAAAACACAGCTCAACTACATGCACATTTAAACACATGGCTCGAAAACCCAACATGAAAACATACCACCACACTGTTAGGAATGTGCATCAAAAGGCAAACTTTTGCCAACAATAGCTAGAGAAAATGCTGGTGATTGTGAAAGCCATATAGCACTTCACCTCTGTGGTCAGACTTCCTAGCTACAGATCTAGAGGTCCAGGTTCGATTACCAGTGCTACCAGATTTTCTTCAGTCAGTCTGGAATAGGGTCCACTCGGCCTTCTAAGGATAAGAGAGGACCTATTTCAAGGAAATAGCTGCTCCGGTCTAGAACACCGAAATTAACAGCCGTCAGGATTTGTTGTGTTGACCACGAGACACCCCCAATCTGTTAAAAGTTGGCACTAACTTCGCAGACAAGCGGCGGTCGTTCGGTAGGAATAGTTCGCTTGAGGACAAACTATGGAGTTTGTTTTATATAGCTCTTATAAATAACATCACATGCTTATACCATTAAGCGTTATTAGGCAGTCATACAGGATGTCTCAGGAGGAAAGGTCAATATGTTATGTCTTTTTATTCTGAATGGTTTCTGAGACAGCTATTTCACTGTACTGTACAGACCAGCAACACATCACCTCCTCGCACATTACAAACTGCAATAATGTCGACAGAATTCTAAAAAATGTGTTATACTTTGTAAACTGTACCTACTTTGTCACCTGAACAATGAACACCAGTATTAAGAACAGTAATTAATATCTCTATTATCAACAATTTTGGATTTGTACTATGAAATAGATGTATCTTGGAAAATGACACGTGCATAAAAACTTTTTGCTTAGAATGACTGATAATGACCTCCCATAATTACCTTTCCTGCTGGAATACATCACATCTCTGAAGAATTAAAAATTCAATACATGCAGTAAAAGAGCTCCATGTGGATGTGCCACAGCTCAAGCGGTTGTTAGTCCCTGGCTTCCCACCACAGCGGCCTGGGTCTGGTCGAGTGGGATTTGTGATTGACAAAGTGGCACTGGGGAAGGTTTTCTCTGAGTACTTCAGTTTCCCCTGCCAATCTTCATTCCACCAAATTCACCATCATAATCACCAGTGGCAGGATACAATAGGGCAATTAGTGGCCACCGTGCCGAATGAACCCAGCTTGACTCCAGCCCGCCCTAAGCGAATTAAAATTAGTTAAAAAGCTCTGTGGTTTTCAGCACTCAAGCAAACTATACCACTGTTGGTATACCACTGCTTGTTGGCGAATTTCAGTAGATAGAGGATGTCGTGTGGTCAGCGCAACAAATCCCCATGGCCATTAATCTCACATTTTTGCAATTGCTGCAACACGCTTCATAAGATCTAAAAGTCTGTAATGATGGTATATTCAAAAAACCAAACTCAGTGATTGCTCGGCTGTGACTGCTAAGACAAACATTAAAAGAATTCCACACATAAGGACTACCATCCATGTCTACTGTTAAAATCAGGGTATTATCAGTCATCACTAAAGGGAGATTCCCTGTGTAGTACCTTATGCAAAACCATAACTTTCACTCATAGTCTACACTGAATAATTTCAGTCGTCTCACTTCTGCTACAATAAAGGGAGTCCTGATGGGAGAGATGTTCAAGCTGGTTTGAGCGATCAGATGATCTACCAGGAGTGCACCGAGGAGCACTTTATAACTTTACCAAAGGTCTGCTCAAAGAATAAAAAATTGTCCTGCATACAAAGGCCCAAATTATGTTGAAAAGAAAAGAAGGTAGCGCAGATTGACAGTACAGCAGTTACAAAAACACAAAGAATCCACCCTACACATCTCTGCTAGATCTGATTTCAACAGCCACGAAATAGTGCATGGTCATAGGTGCTATGCCTCATGCATATTTTTTTAGGGTTCATCTTAACTCCCACAGGTTTACGTTGCGCTTGGTTTATATGGCCTATTTTGTGATGACATCGTGTCCAGAAATAGGGACTTCCTCCATCAGTTGGGTTCAAATGAAATGGCTTTTACCTAGGGTTACCATACGTCCTCATTTTTCTGGACATGTCATTTTTGAGGGGTAAATTACCGTCAGGGAGGAATTTACAAAATTAAGGTGAATGTCCAGAAGTTGGCCATATTTCAATTTTCTTCTCCTTTTTGCCTAGCATATTTGCTTTATTCATGTATCTTCTCCTTGCAAAGGGAGTATTCATTTGACTAATCGGTGTTCACTTCCAGTTCCTTAGTCGGAACTGCAGGATTGCTTTGCTTACCGCTTGGTTTTCACATGTTGCAGAGTTGTTTAACATCGTATCGTTATAAGTTTTAATCTATAATAAGTGTTTTGTGATTTTAAACAATTAGGGAAATCAGTACCAGGTAGGAATAGAGATACTAAATTAGAACGGTACAATATATAAGCGTACTCTTAATCTTATATGCCGATCCGCATTACATATTATTGGTTATGATTTTTTCATCTTTTTATAGCACTACTTCAAGAGAATAATGCCAAACAGAAAGTGCAAATTCACAGACAAATTGAAGAAAAAATACCAGTGTTTTCGCTCTGGTCGTGTGGAATGCGAAGCAGAATGCATGATCTGTACTCCAGGGACATATGTCTCAATAGCCAATAAAGGAAGTGGGGATTTAAAATTTCATATGAAGTCCGAAAAACATTCTAAGAATGTTAGAGGGGAGAGTTCTTCCGAAAAAATGACTAAATATTTCATGCCTAATACCAAAATTGATGAAAATGTATGTGCTGCAGAAGGCACACTTGCTTTCCATACTGTAGCACACCACAACAGCTACAAGTCCATGGACTGCACATCTAAATTACTTAAGAGAATTGTTTAATGACTCTGAAATAGCTAAAAAAATATCAGGTGCTCTTACGAAAACAGAAGCAGTTGTTAACTCAGTTAGCTCCTCATTCAGTAAAGGAACTAATCAAATCTTTGCAGGGCATTCCATTCTGTGGTGTATCTACAGACGCAAGTAACCATGGCGTGGTTAGGGTATTTCCATTAATGGTCCAGTACTTCGACTATGAATATGACGGACTGCAAATAAAGTTATTGGAAGTGCAAGGTCAACCAAATGAAACAGCAGATGCAATTGCTGCGTATGTTAGTGAGACTCATAGTAATCATGGTCTTCTAGGTAAATGTGTAGCATTTGCAGGTGACAACTGCAACACTATGTTTGGTGGTCTAAAAAAAAGGAGGTGGAAGAAATGTGTTTGCAAATCTGAAGAGATTAAAGCCCTCTCCGATAGGGGTTGGGCGCCCTGCACACGTCTTAAACAACTGTATGCAGCATGGCACAGACACNGCAGACACTACAAATTGACATAGAATCAACTGTGCTAAAGGTGTACAATTATTTTTCTATATACACAGAGTAGTCTCTCTTAAACAGTTTTGTGAGTTTGTTGACACTGAGTATCAACAGTTGTTGTATCACTCCAAAACTCGTTGGCTTTCATTATTCCTAGCAATTGAAAGACTTATCTGAAATTTTTCAGTGACCAATTTAGTGAAATATATCTCTTGCATCTCCATTCATTAATGTGTGTTTCATTCCCATATTGAGTCTATTGAAAGGGAAAAGAATTCTGTGCTTGAAATCCTGAATATCTTATCTGATATGCACAACATCCTACAAGAAAGAAAAATGCAAAACTATGCATCACTGAAGGTGAAAGCTCTATTTCGAGAGAGAGAGAGAATGAAGGCTTGGAAGCAGAGTGTAAACATTTTCTAAGCGACATCAAAAATCTGTACAATGGTTGCTTGGAATATTGGATATGTGGATTGAACCATATAAGGAGTTTTCGTGTTTCAAATGGATGCAACTTGAAAATTTCCCATGGACAGAAATTGAATCATCCATCAAATAAATACCTGATGGATAAAGGAATTGACATCGATGATAGCAGGTGTTTCAACCAATTCTGCAATCTGAAAACATTCATACCTACGTATAATGAGGGAACGAAGTCAGCACCATTCCACAAAAAATGGTCTCAGTACTTCAAATCAGGAAGTGTTGAGCGTCACTCTGAGGTCCTGAAAATAGCACAGCTCTTCTTTGCTATTCCCGCACCTAAGGCTAATTTGGAAAGGCTGTTCTCTTTAATTGAAATGCAGTGGTCTAAGGAGAGGAATCATCTTGCTGTGGAGTCAGTGAAAGGACTAGCTATTGTGAAATACAACTTTCGTCATTTCAACTGTGCTGCATTTCATTCATACTTGCTGAAACATCCTGACGTTTTAAAAGAAATTTTGTCAACAGAAAATTATTCATGGTCTGTTAAGATTGGAACATAGTGACTGGATTTCAATTGAACAGTTATAGGCCTAAATGTATTGTAGTGACTGAAATTTGATTGCACAATTAAGTGTATTGTTAAAAGTTTTTATGCATTCCAAGTTTATTATATCAAACAATGAAGTAGGTAACTTTACATTAATTGTCTGAAAGTAAATGACTTTGTATCATTGACCATTGTGTGTATTGTGTGTGTTAGCTTAGAAGTTACATAGGCGCTGGTACAGCTTGATTTGTATGTATGGTGTCCTCATTTTTAAGTTACAAAATTTGGTAACCCTACTTTTACCTGAAGCCCGAATCCAATCTTGAAAATGTTGCATTTTAAGATAAAAATGGTTGGATAATGTCCAAAAACACAACAATCAAATCACATAATGCTAAGACTTAAAAGTACACATATAGTGATGCACCATGTGTTGGAACAGTGACAAGGTAACAACCCAGCTTCCTGTATTTCCCCAAGTTTCAAATGTGAAAATATGAACAGAACTAAATACTCACAAAACATTGCAGTTTTCATTACTAGAAGGTAACATAATAACTTTTCCATTCATTCAAAACAAAAATGTTTTTAACCAAAAATGTGTTGGAGTCTAAATGGGCCTGCATGGAAATAAAATAGCTGCAATGGGCACAGTAGTTGGGTGTTATATGTCAAGCCATTACCCAACAGTCCAGCTGCTGGAAGAGGTTTTAATTCTATTAGATAATCCAGAACATTCACTGATCAGCAAATATTAAAATGTTTTGCCACAGAACAAATTTGGAGAACAGTTTGCATCGATAGCTGTAAGTGATGGCATTATCTGGAAATTCCGGCTAAATTAGGATCCACACTAACAGAAGCATTAACAATTGGTGATACACCAGAAATCGAGAAATTAAGACTCTGAGCAATATTTTGTGATTTTCTCATACTCAGAAAATGGGTTAAAAGGAATTAATAACATCTACGATGAACACATTGCACATTACTGAAGTGCTTATGAGACAGCTGACTCGAAGCAAAGCAAAGGCAGAGATAGTAAACTACTATTACCAGCACCACGGCTTAAAACCTCAGTGGAAAAAGGCAAGGAGTTTCAGTTTGCAAAATGGATGGAGGAGAAAATTACTTTTAAAGGTACTATAGGAATTGCTCATCTGTGCTAGATGGTAGCTTTGTCAATAAACCATATGAGAGCAGGCCACTCCAGTCTTAGAGCAAGTTTGTACATTTTAACTATGTCCATGCTATGATAAAATAAGATCTTTATAAAAATGTGCTTCAGAAGGCAAAATGGGCATTGCCTATGCCTTTTGTACATATTTATTTTTCAAAATGAAAAGTCTAGTTAGAAGACAGCCATGCTCATGTTCAGAGGCTGGTTTCAGCAGTCAAAATGACCATGTTTTAGTAGTGTACTACCAAAAAGCAGTGCTCTGTTGTGTTTTTAATGAGCAAAATAACTCGACGTAAAGGATACTAATAAAAAAAGTTTCCTATTCATGGTGGGAAGTGGTCATGTAAAGTTGCAAATGATGCTCTACCAGGTCACCCTGTTAAGACTGCAACACAAGCAAAGACTTCTATGCCGCAGGTTTTGATGCACTGTTAAAGTAATGGGACAAGGGTATCAATGTGGTGAAGGATATGTTGAGAAATAAAAGCTTTTTATCCAGGCTCAAATATGTTTTACATTTTATATCCATTTGTCACCTATTTACCAACTCTCCCTTGTATTTTAACCATTCAGCCTAGGCCAGGGAAATTCTTATAGATTTGGTGTAATATATTTAATGATACTGCCAGTTCTCAGTTTACATAGCATCCAATGGTAGAATGACTGGGTCATAAGGATTTGTAATCGGCATGAAAGTGGTCATGGCCTAATCATGGCACATCCTGGAATAAAACTGCAACTATAAAACACACAGAACTTCAGTTCAGTCTCAAATCCAGGCACCTCCCAAATCAAGCAAGCCGCATGTTTACTTCATCTAGAGTGCTCAGCATTTTATGCAGTTTCATCAGCACGCACAAAAAATAAGTTCTGAGCACTTTACCACTTGCCAAATCACGGCTGCAGCAACTGCATGAAAGATTCACAATAGTGATGTGGCCAATATGTTTGATCACTGGTAGTTCCTGCAGAGAAATATCTGTTGCAGCTAAATCAAGTGACCAAGGGCGCCTGCCAATGGTCCCACCAATCCATTACTTGGGGAAGTCTGTATTATGCTTGTTATCCAGGAGGAGTTGTTTGTCATTATCCACACATCTCTTTCTTCACTGTCACTAATGACCTCGGCACTAGCTTGCAGAAAGTTCAGCATTCAAAACTGACCCAATAATTTAGAAGGCCTTGTATATGGATAACGATTTTACTCAGGATAGCAGCCTTAAGGAAGAAGCAATGTGAGATGTCTGCAAGCCAGCATAGTCTAATAAAAGATAAGTCCTATATCGCTAGGCAATGGCTGGTAAACATTATGCCATGAATAGCATTGGTAGCAATATTGCAACAAGTGAAACCTGTAGGAGCAGATTTTGTGAAACTGCACAAACCTAAGTATAAGTAACAGAGCAAATCAGCACAATTATTTATTTGGAAAAAATCATGTGTATACAAAAATTGCCTATGCATTGCCCATCCGACCCTCTGTAGCATTCTTATAAACATCTTATTCTATGACAACGGTCACCTAGTGACCTATTATTATTTTGTACATATGATAACTTCTTTTTAAAAAAATTTATGGCCCTGCACAAATCATTTTTACTCTGGCCTTATAAGCTTCGTAAACTTCTTTTCCCTGTGCACAGACAAAATCTCCATCGTTGTTCCTACAGTTTAGTAAACCCTAAGATACTTTCCTCCAGTTAAACCCGTCCCCACGTATCAATTAAATAGTACGAATATTGGTAGTCCTGTAATTAAATGCATAAGAACATGCAAGAGAAATAAATGCCATGTAAAATACTCGGCAACACCAATGTCGGTTTCTTGATTGACACCGCGTACCAGTACGCTAGATGAACGCTGGCACAATATACATGCATTTCGCTTTATCAAAACTCAGGGGTGAATGAAGCGCCTTCTTACTATCTGGCTACAAAAAAATCTTCCATCCCCAGCACATTAATATATAATAATAATAATCGTTCATTCAAACCGCAAAAACTTAACATTAGCAGGAAAAAAAAAATTCGACGCTACTTCTAAGAGTCACGAAAATGGCGGACGGCTTCAAGCAAGCAATCTAATATTACGTTACGTAACTTTCCATATACCAAAAGTAATTCGGTGTATTACAGGTCACATTCATGGCCACAACAATAAAGTCAATCGGTTCTGCCATTCTAACAACTGAATTTAATCCCGAAGATACAAAACACAAAGGCTTGGGTTGGGTGGCGTCACTATGTCTACGTTCCACATATACGCCGGGTACATTTCTATATATTAAGAGAATTACACAAGCCTATAACTCCAATAGTTCAAAATATCAATTATGCTTGTTTATAATTATATTTAAGCCTTACCTCGTGGTCCATCTTTACCATTTCCACTGCAATTTGTCTAGACGCACTTTCAACCTACCACCAACAAAGCAGCTTCAGCCAAAATGGCAGATGATGGCGTGGAACGTAAAGTCGATGAAGGTCGATGAAGCGCCGTGTAACACAATGCCTGGCAACGCTGGCGACGGAGTCACTGTGACGTCATATTTGCGATATGCTGCCATCTATTACCTCATTCAGGATTCTGCTGGAAAGTGGCTGCAGCCATTACCGAGAGCCAGTCGGTATGAAGGTTAACTACTGTAGTACTATACTACCTTGAATGAATGTATGAGGGGTAGGCCTCCTCGGCCCTTGCACCACGACCTGCAGTAGTCTATTGTGCTTCCTATACTACCTTACTTCAATACGTATGGTAGTAGCCTATGCGCACCATGCCCCCCTAATCCCGAGTTCACAAAACAGCACTAAATAATTTTTCCACCCTGACCTCATGTATTGTAGAGGTTCTTACTCAATTTTTAGACAGGAGTTGAACTAATATCACTTTCATACCTATCAGGAGAAATTTTCTCAGCAATGCCTGTAAAGTACAAACATTTCATATATATTAATCCAACATATGCTTACTGAAATACACCAGAGCATTGTGTACTATATCAGCTGTAATTATGTAAGATTTGAGGCTTTCATGGCGGTGATTATCAAGAAAGCAGTCTTCTGGGATTTGGCACCGTGTATATGTGGTGTTAACCGACGTTTCGGAGGAACGTATCGCCTCCATCTTCAGGGTAGGAAGAAAAATATAAGAAATCCACAAGTGAAGAGACCGTGAGAACCGGTAAAAGCAGACTGGTGTTGGAAATATACACAGCTATGTGAGAGCAGTGAAGGAAGGGGGGAAGGGCAAGTATACAAGTGAAATCAGTAGTGTCAGAGGGGGGGGGGAGGAGCTGGGACAAGCAAGGTTTTGTGTTGGGGGAGAGAAAGGCAAGGTTAAAGGCTGGGCACTAACCCTTAAGCTAGGGGAGGGGGTTGTTATGTTAGTCGGTCATGGCCTGTGTAGCCTTCTGGATCTGGCGTCATATCCCGTGGGGGGGGGGCGGTTCTTAAGAGAACAGATGAGAGGCTTCCATGACTTGCTGAGACAAGGCTGACAAGGGTGATGCAGCCGTGGTACTGGATACGTCTGACTACAACCGAAAGATCGCCGCTCTCTTGGAGGGTAAGGCCTACAGGAAGTTGAAGAAGGATCCTACCGATACCATAGAGTGCAAGACTGTTCTTCTCCTGAAAAAGTGCCAGGCTGAGGAGGTCTGCCAACAGCTACGACCTCAGGGTTCCAGGCCACCTAGACTCTACGGGTTGCCAAAAATCCATAAGCCTGACATTCCACTAAGGCCCATTGTGAGCATCATTGGCTCTCCTACCTATCGCCTGGCCAAACACTTGGCTGGCCTACTAAGCACATACACTGGCAATGGTCCACACCACATAAGTAACTCTATGGAATTTGTCCACACATTGGACTCTCTCCATGTTGATCCCTATGACATAATGGTCAGTTTCGATGTGGTGTCACTCTTCACCAGGGTCCCTATAAAGGATATGATTGGATCTGCTAGGACGACATTTCGAAGAAGACATCTTGAGACTCTTCCACCATATCCTGACCACCTCATACTTCAACTTCAATGGCCAGTTCTATGAACAAACCAATGGTATGGCGATGGGCTCGCCACTTTCTCCGGTCATCTCTAACCTATATATGGAGGACTTCGAGGAGAGGGCACTTGACTTGACCCCACACAAGCCCTGCTGCTGGTTTCACTACGTGGACGACACCTTCGTCATCTGGCCACATGGGCCCGACAAGCTCCAGGACTTCCTGAACCACATAAATAGTATCAACCAGTGCATTCAATTCACAATGGAAACTGAAACTGAAGGCCACTTCCCCTTCCTCGTTATAGATATTTACAGGAGACCCGACGGTTCTCTGGGCCATAGAGTGTACCGCAAATCCACCAGTACAAACCTCTACCTTAACGCTGCGTCCCACCACCACCCTTCCAACAAGCACGCTGCACTTTCCACATTGGTGCACAGGGCTTGAGCACTGTGTGATCAAGACAGCCTACATGCGGAGTTGGTGCTCTTGAGGGATGTATTCAAGAAGAACGGATACAACAACCGGCAGATCCACAGTGTTCTCAACTGGTGGCCCAATATCAGCCGGCCTGAAGACAAACCGGGCTCAGTCGCCTTCCTTCCCTATGTTGGGACCATATTCAACCGTATCAGCAGAGTGCTGTCCCGGCACAACATCAAAGCAGTGGGTCTGCCTCCAAACAAATTATCCAATTTCCTCCAGCCAGTCAAAGATAGCCTGGGCCTAAGGACACCGGGTGTATACAGTATCCCATGTGAGTGCGGCAATGTCTATATTGGGCAGACAGGCCGCTCCGTGGACACAAGTTTGAAGGAGAATCAGCGGCACATCCGGCTCAAACATCTGGACAAGTTGGCCATAGCTGAACACAGCATTGATCTCGGGCACTGTATTCAGCTTCAGAATACCTTCATCCTCACCACCAAGACCCGCTATATGGATTGCATCATTAGGAAAGCCATTGAGATTGAACTCCATCCCAAAAATATGAACAGAGAAGGGGGGTTTTGTCTCAGCAAGTCATGGAAGCCTCTCATCTGTTCTCTTAACCCCCCCCCCCAGGATATGATGCCAGATCCAGAAGGCTACACAGGACATGACTGACTAACATAACAACCCCCCCCCCCTCAGCTTACAGGTTAGTGCCCAGCCTTTAACCTTGCCTTTCTCTCCCCCAACACAAGAACCATGCTTGTCCCAGCTCCTTTCCCCACCCCTCCTACACTACTGTTTTCACTTGTATACTTGCCTTTCGCCCCTTCCTTCTCTGCTCTCACATAGCTGTGTATATTTCCAACACCAGTCTGCTTTTACTGGTTCTCACGGTCTCTTCGCTTGCGGATTTCTTATATTTTTCCTTCTACCCTGAATATGGAGGCGATACATTCCTCCAAAACGTCGGTTAACACCACATATACACGGTGCCAAATCCCAGAAAACTGCTTTCTTCATAGTCACCGCCGTGAAAGTCTCAAATCTTACATAGAAAAAAATACTTATATGTTGCTGTACTTCTTTTGGCTTATTTTGGACTTCACCCATCGTCTGGTATATAAAAGACAAAAAACCACGACGTTTCGGATACTGGATCTGTCTCCGTCTTCAGGTGGATAGGGAAGGTTTAACCTACTCAGTTGGGCCCCTTAGTCTCAGTGATTGAGACTAGCTCTTTCTAANCATAAAATTTTGGGATATTCTTGCATAACTGGCAGCTTGTCAAGAAGCACTCATTTTCATGGAGTTTGATAATGTAAAATGTTCCTCATCGTGGAAATGTAAAAAAAAATTTATAGAATATATTTTGATAGGATAGCATTGTGCAAAGCAGTAATTACAAATATTGTCCCAAGTTTTGAACTATAGGAGCAGTCTAGGCAAATAGACCAAAAAGACACACAACTATCCAGAGAGAAATTGGATGAGATATGTGCTGAATTAGAAGCTAAAGGTCATTCCTGGTATGATCAGCACAGCAGTTGGTGCGACTAATTGATTTCGAAGAAATTGTGTGATGCTACAGAATGCGATGACTGATATATATGAAGTTTTTCCTTCCTTTGTCAGTTAATTTCAAAGCTATGGCATTTCGAAATTTTGAGTTTACTTAACTTCAAACTTGCTTGTGACTCTGGTCCAAATTAAGAGGGAGAGCTCATTCTTGAACCAGTTGCATGCTCTGAAGTGGGGCTTTCATTTAGTATGCTACTCATAATACTTTAGGGCAAATTAACACTTTGACCATCATTTAAAACACATTGTGATTCTTTAAGTCCGTTTTTGGAAAATTTCGTGTTGAGACAAGAATTGGTTGATGGGGTACGTAGTTTATAATTGCAGGTTACATAATTATTTTTGCTGGTCACTTGGATTAAATATTGTAGCAAACTGTGTAGGCAACAGTATTAAATAGGAAAGGGGAAAAAAAAGCCTGACAGGCTTATTCATTAAAATATTAAAATCTGCTTCTCATATACATAAACATTACCTGTTATAGTAGCTATTTACAGCCTGCAAAGCCTAGTATCTAATGTCCAAGTGGTGCAACAGGATTCTGTTTCACTGGTAACAAATTCGTGGCCTGTTGCAGTTTCTCGATCCAGTTTTAAGCACTTTTGAAGGTAAAACCGACTGCAGGTCTGGCGGTGAAGGGTATGTGAATAATTTATTGGGACTAGAGGGATTAAAAAAAGTTATGTGCTTTTGACTATATTTCATATAAGCTACCATTTTCTGTCATATTCACAAGGTAACAATCCTGTGCTTTCTTCCACTTGGTCTTTGCTTCTGAAAGCACTTCTTTCTGAATTTGTTTTTTTGAGGCAGGATTGATAACAGTGTATTTTTTGAGTGCCCAGAAGTGTTCAAGCTCTCCTGAATTTGTGTCTGAGTACCATCATTTCTTTGCTGATGTTTTAAGCAGGACAGTGCTCAAAAGTGACAGAGAATCTTTACAACAACCCACTTGCTAAGCTCCTAAGGACTTTGCAGACTTCCCTTTCTTTCTATCATTTTAATTTTTTACCTAGTCCCATCACAATGCAACTTTGTCATGTGCCATTGCAAAGACATGCTTCTCAGTGCCCATACCAGCATCATTTTTCTGATAGCAGTTTCAATGGAGTTTCTCCTGTTGTAATACTCAGGCAGCACTGTCAGAAAAGTAGCAAGTCTTAGTTACATCTTTCAGTTTACCAGAACAAAGCTACAAACTTTTGCTTTGAAAAAATTTCTTTGTTACAGTGTCATGTAACAACAAAACTGGTGTGTTCTATCATTTAATTTTGTGAATAATAAACCACAAATGGATGAAGAGTTGCCTGAACATTGTTTCAATGAGACCTTGTCCCTCATCTTGTACAATGGAGTAGTGTTCAGAAAAATTATAGATAAAAGCAGTTTTGCAAGTTTTAAATTATGATTTTAGTTCTTTATAGAAACACAGTTTCTGGTTTGCTATAAAAGAATGATGAAGCAAGATGTTTCTCTCTTCAGCAAAAGGCTTGAGAAAGTCACTGCAAGACAGCACAGTTGTTTCTAGCATTGGTCTGTTAGCAGTCATCCACTTGCTCTAGGTTATATTGTCTGCGTTGTTGTCTTCAGATTTCTGTTCAGTTTTTTTTAACAGGTTCTTGATCCCTGGAAACATATCATAGTCTCCCGGATAGCAAATTACTCTTCGCACATAACATATAATTGTTGACAAACAGTTTGAAGATTTTCTTCTGGGTTATAAGAATAGGGTTGCCGGTCTGGTCTTGAGGGTTGTTGAAAGTGGACATGTTTTTGGAGTGGTGCTATTAATGAGTTGCTACCTGGCGGACTACTGAGTCAGCATGGGTACCTGGGCTGCAAGGATGTCATGGCATACTGCCCAAGGCCGAGACAGTAATGGCCAAGCAATAAGTTATGTAGGGAATATGCTTCTCTGTGCAGCGGCTTTAACTGTATTGTTAGTAATTGGCATGGTGAAGGAAAATCCTGGACCTGGTGTGGAGACTGAAAACACTCTGCAAGTATTGTGTAGTGGGTGTGACAGGAATTTAAAATCTGGAACACAGTGTGATGTGTGGACGTTGGTTTCACAATAGCTGTGGAGACGTCAAGGCTCAAATGGCTAATAGTGGGAAGTGGAGTTATGACAGGTGCAGATGGAACAACTAGAGGAGAAACTGGAAGCGCTCTGCAACAAATTGAACTAAAACAGAAGAACGAAGGGCTGGTAGGTGGATGCAAGCTTGGCAAGCATGATATGGTGCGGAGACAACCTGGGGGTTGCAGAGTGCTTAGTGTTGGGTGACTTGATTATATGGAATGTGGAATCTGAACATGTGAGGGTACATTGCTTTCTGTGAATTAGAACCGAACAACTGCAAAGAGTCATGGAAATCAGAGATCTAGGGAGCCCTGATACTGTTGTAATTCATGTAGGTGCTAATGATTTAAGACAAACTGCAGGTCTTGATTATGTAATGGGTGATGTGTATGCTCAAGTGAATCAGGAAGAAACTAAGTTTCCTTAGTCCAGATTAGTTCTGAGTGGCATATTTAGATGCAGAGACGTGTCATGGCAGTGAATCAGAGCATTAAACAGCAGATATGACTGGATAGTGAAGACGTTGAGTATTACATTTGTAGATCTGAATAGTTGGATCGAGAATTGGGACCATTAAGGATGGACTGCACATAAACCTAAGTGCAGCAAGAAGACTAAGCCAACTGTATTCTAGAGTTTGTGGCTTTGGTGGTGGGGGACACAATTCGAAGGAGTGACTGCTGCTGAGTACTAACAAGGATAGAACGCTTGAAAGGACACAGAAGACAGGTACCCAAGAACATCTAACACTAGTCTGGCAGATGATAAAGAGGGAAGAAGCGAAAAGGAATCAGATGAGGAAGACAGAAGAGGTGACAAGTTATGAATGGGTAGCCACGAGAGGGGCACAGAGGATAGAGGGTAATTTGATGGTTTTGGTGCATGTAAATTGCAGGAGTATCCTTCATAAGTCTTTAGGCCTGTAAACATTCCTGTGGGATCGAT